AGAGAGAGAGATCATACCTTTCTGTATTATTTTCTTCTCTGCCCTAACTATGCAAGTAACGGGATCAGTGGTAGAGCACATGATTAGGATACATAAGGACTTGGGTTCAACCCTCAGCACTGTGGTGGGGGTAGGGGTGGGAGGGAGGTGTTTAACTATATATATAGAATGTAAAGTATGTAATAAAAATCCTGTACTCTCCCTAATAACTGACACTCTACTAAGCAAATACAGCTGAAGCCAGTGAATCCTTTGTATATTCACGTATTTAGGCTTATAAAAGCATACATGTAAACACTTAACATTTTTTTAGTCACCAACAGCCTACACACAGTTCCACAACATTTTTAAATTTAATATATCCTGGACACCCTTCTCGGTTAGCAGAGTAAATCCTCATATTAATTTATTTTTTACTCTATGGAGTAAATAATTGTTGATATCACTATTTAATTAATTTATATTTATGAGAACGTCTATAATCAACAAGAGAAGTTTCCAACAAGTGGAGCTGGAAGTTTAGAGGGTTTGTACTTTAAAAATTGGCCAGCTACTAGGTACGACACATGCCTGTAAACTAAAGCACTAAGACACTAAACTAAGGACTGAGACAGGAGGATTGTAAGTTCAAGACCAGCCTGGACTACATAAAAAAAAAGGGGGTGGGGCACTGCCTTTATACCCTCCCCGCCAACAGTAATGCTTAAGAATGCCTCACCTTCCCAACATTAACATGCAGAGAATTACTTTAGATCACGTAGTTAAGGAATGACGCTGAGACTTTAAATTGCTCTGTTATTATAGGGTTGTGATTTCCTAATGGTTTAAAAGTGGCTGGAGAGATGGCTCAGCAGTTAAGAGCACTGACAGCTCTTCCAGAGGACCAGAGTTTGGGTCCCAGCTAACAACCATCCATAACTCCAGTTCCAAGGGATCCGACGCCCTCTTCTGGTCACACAGGCAAAACACTCATATACTAAAGTTTGTTGTTTTTTTTAAGTGTCTTTATAAAGTAAGAAAATAAGCTTTATGTTACAGGCTTCAAACTTTCCTTCAAATTATGTCTATTTTTTCTATCTTTTGCTTTGTTCATGGTATTTTTCAATATAATTTATTACATGGTAGTCTTTTTTTTTTTTTTTTTTTTGAGACAGGGTGCCACACCACAGCCCCGGCTGGCCTGGGACTTGCTATGTAGACTAGGCCAATCTTGACCTCACAGAAATCCACCTGCCTCTGCTTCCCTAGTATAGGATTAGAGGTGTGTACCACCATGCCTAGCCTTGGCAGATCTTTGGATCATACTTTGTGCAACCTTCTAGGTTCTAAGGTTATAAACCTGTATCTTCGTATTACCCTAAAGCTTTTATGTTTTCACTTTTACATTGGCATTTTTGACCATATTAAACTAACATCAGTGCTGACATTTATTTTATTAATAGTAACGTAAGTATTATTTGACATAGTCTATCCTATGCCACTCACTGTTCTAAAAGCTTTACATATATTAACTCCTTCAGGTCTTTGAAGCCAAAGTATTTATTATATCCATTTAATAAATTAGTTAAATGAGGCACAGAAATAAAGTACTTAATAAAGTCATAAGCTTAGCCGCTAGACCTGTGGTACACACTTGTAATCCAATGATTTGAGAGACTGAGGCAGGAGGATCACAGGCTTATAGCCTGCCTGGCCTACAAAATGAGTTAAAGGCTCTGTTAGCTCAGTGGTAGCATGTTTGCAAAGTATGTGGAGGCCTCTGGTTCAATTCCCAGTATCAGGAAAGGAAAAAAAGTTCTATTTGCTTAAGCAGTGATACAGCAGGGCAGTGATGTGAAACAAAGGCTCTGGCCCAGTGTAAGCTCTTAACTATTGATCAGCTGCCTCACTACACTAAGGATGGGGCCCAGTGTAAGCTCTTAATTACATTAAGCTCAGCTTTAGCCAAGCACATGGCCAATTTTCCCAATGAAAGAATTCTAGTCTGAGCTCCAACTACTTTTCTTCGAGTTTGGGGCAGGCCTTAGTTATCATCCCCCAACCCGGTAAACCCCGGGCCTTGTACATGCTTGGTATATGCTCTATTGCTGAGCCACATTTCCAGCCCTAATTTTTCCAACATATAGTTTTCCTGCCATGTGTTAGGAAATGGATATTTGTACCATACCTCAAATGAAAGAGTACAGCAACAAAAAATCAGCAACTTTATCAATATTATTTTTTGAAATAAGGTTTCACTCTGTAGCCCTGGCTGGTCTCAAACTCACAGAGCTCCAGATGCCTCTGTCTCCTGAGGGCTGGGATTAAAGACATGCACCACTGACTACAACCAGTAAAATCTACAAACTTTTAAAATTTAGTGTAACAAGAATACAGAGGAAGAACCGCTGTATTCCTGGTCATAATATATAAAATATTAGCTCATATGAGATAAGAGTGAAAATTACACTTCTTGTTTAGAATTACTAAATAATGTAGAACAATCCATTTGGGGAACATGTAAAACATTCTGTAGCCAACACAAAGATAATTTATAATCAAGTTATAAAGAAAATTAATGGCCACACTTCTTCTGTACTTCCAAAGTGTTTATGTGGTAAAGTAGCAAGGAGCTCCCTGGGAGAAGGATGGTCAGGAGAATAAAATCTCCGGCCTGGAAAACCCAACTTTCCAGTTTTGCTGGGTCAAACACCTGGTCATAGGACCATGCTTAGGAGGCTGGATTCACCTATGTCATGGTAAAGAGATGGACAGAATGCCTAGAGTGTTAATAAAACAGTGAACTGTTTCTGCCCAGAATCCCTGCCCCCTCAGCGCAGTCCACGTGGTCAGGTCCCACATGTGGCTCTCCCTAAGTCTTGCCCAATTCTTCCTCCCCTTTTTGTCTATCTTTTTCCTTTCTTTTTTAAAAATATTTTATTTATTATTTTTATTCTATGTGTATGCGTGTACTGCCTGCATGTAGGTCAGTGCACCCGTGTCATGCAAGGCCTGCGGAAGACAGAAGAGGCTGTCAGATCCCCTGGAACTGGAGTTATAAACAGTTGTTAGCTGCCGTGTGGGTGCTGGGATTCAAACCCGGGTCTTCTACGAGAACAGCCAGTGTTCTTAACTGCTGAGCCATTGCTCCAGCCCCTCATCTATCTTTTTTCTAAGCATGCTTCCCTAACACTTTGGGCTGCCCCATTTTACCTTTTTCTCTAAAACTCCCTTCCCCTCTCTACCATGCGGCTACTAATCCACCACATGTGTGACCTACCTCCATGCTATGCTGGCTCTAAACTTGCACAGCTTTGTGCCTTTCCCTTCTCCCTCCACTCTCCCCCTTAGGGCAGCTCTGCTGAGTTTTACAGCTTCCCTGCCCTGAGGACTTTTCCTTAAATTCTAATTAAACTGTCCTAAAGCTTCTGTTTGAGTCCATTCTTAAATTCTTTTATGAATGAGCCTAAGGATCCCAGAAGGGGACCTGTAGCATCTGGAGAACCATACATCACTGTACTGTTAATACATTTACATTCCTATAGTTTACCTAATCATAGATCGTCTGAAACAACTTATTTACTTAAAAGGAGTAAGTCTATTACAAGTCTCTCATTAATTTGACAAAAAAATGTGAAACGCTCTCCTCCTCTCCCTACTTTATTTTGTCATGAGTGTTTTGTGTGCATGTATATAAGTGTACCATATGCGTGCCTGGTGCCAGTGGGATCCCCAGAACTGGAGTTTCAGATGGCCACCATGTGGAAGCTGGGAACTGAACCCAGGTCCTCTGCAAGAACAGATCAATGAGGAGATAATCTAACTCAAAATCTATTTCAATACCTATCTGCATAAGCATTGATTTGGCTCATTCCTGCCATGTGATCTAAAAACAGAAATAATCATCATGTTCATGTTCCAACTACTCAAATGTTCTATCTGTTGAAATATAACTTTCTGGTTCATAAAGTAAGGCAAGGGGAGAACCAGGGAAGGGACTGTCTAATCATGGGGTGAAAGGTGCTGCTGTCCATTGTTCAGTCTGTCATCAGTCTACAAGATCCACACTATGAGAAACTACCTGGAGACAAGCATGGTTCCCTACTTAGGGCTTGACTTTAGCACAGAGCAAAAGCAAACACATTCAGTAGAAAGTGAACTCCAAATCATGAATGTCTCTCTTT